TTGTATTTTGTTTACAAAATTGTGAGAAAAAAAAACCCGTCTTTTATAATTCTTACAACATGTATCTTTTTCAACCAATAAAAAATGGGGTATAAAGATTTTTGGGAGCTGGCAAAGGGAGGAAAAAATTTTGGCTGTTTGCGGGGTCAGTGGCTGATGAAAAATTTTCTAGTTCATTCTTCATTTTTATTTAAAATTTTATACCCCGTAAAAATGCAGTTTTTTAATTTTAGAAACTTATTAAAAAAAAACTGTAAATTGAAACCTTTTATTCGTAAAAACTTTTTTAAAAAAAAGCAAGTTTGCTCAAACAAATAGAAATTCCATTTCTCAACTTTTAAACATAAATAGTATTCTTGTGACTTTTTTCAAAAAATAAATTCTTTTCATAACCCAAATGTTTTATTTTTGCAATTTTGATGCCCCTGTTATTTGATTAAAAAATTAAGCCACGAAAAAAAAATCCCAAAAAAAAATAAAAATTATTTTTAAAAATCTTTTTGGCTGTGAAAAATTTCAAGAAAATATGAAATTTAAAAATTTTGTTTTGGGAATTAAAGAAATATTAACTTTTTTAAATCACGGGCCCAAAATTATTAGGGACAAAAATATAGCAAAAAGTTCGGGAGATGTTTTACTCGGGGTGAAACAACGGCTTATGTTTCTTTGGCAATGTTGCGTTTGGTTGACATGAAAAGAGCTAAAAATATTGCACGATGGGGGGAATTTCACGAAAAAACTCCCTTGGGGGTTTTTTAAAAGCACAAAGGTTTTTGGCAGGGCTATTTTTTCCCGGTTTTTCAAGGAAAAGTTTTAAAATTTTGAATTAATTTTTTGAGCTAAGAAAGAAAGTGCAATTGCTTAATTAAGCAGATCAAAATCTCGGCAGTGCCCAATATGGTTAAAAAATTTTAAAATATTTTTAAAGGGTTTTTTTTATTTTTAAAAACATATATTTTTTTCTTTGGTTAAATCATATATACCCCGATTCAACTAAGAAATTGTGATTTCCCTTTTGGGCAAAAAAGGGACCCTTTTAAAGATAAACAAGGAATTCGAACCCTTCGGGATATTTATCCGCAGATTTACCGTCTGAGCTCCCACGGATTTTCCTGGGGTGTATAAGTAACTCCCCTTTTACCCCGAAGTTTAGTTTTTTTAAAAAAACCCATTAATAAAGTCTTATTTATTGAGATAGCCCAAAAAGTTAAATAAAAAAATTTATTTTACTCAAAGCATATCCTTTTTTTTACAATTTTTTAAAATTTGATAGGAACACTGGGGGTAGGTCGGGCCAACACTTTCGGTACGGGAAATCAGAAAAATTCATTTCCATTTGTAGACCTTGAAAGTTTTCCCTTTTAAAAATTTTTCCCCCCGGGACAATTACAAAATATCCAGTTTTAACAAATGAAAAGTTTCAAAAAACTGCAGCTTTATTAAACCCAAGCTTTATGAAGATTTTACTATACCCCCTTTCCCCATTATTTTACGAGCACGGGGATAAATTTAAATTTCCCCTTTACATTTCTTTTAAACTGTCCCCGGGGATCCCCCGTTTATTGAAATTTAAATTTTGTTTTTTTTTCATTAATTAATGATTAGAAACATTTGGGGTTTTCCCAAACCCAATTTTTTCCGATTCCCAATATGGGCCCAGGTACAATTAATGCCGATATTTTTCTCCAGTTTGAACTCTTTCCTTGAAAAAAAAAGACCCTTTCCAAAACCCAAAGGGCTTTTCTATTTGTCCCGGAGAGAACCTTTTTCAAAATGAAAAGATAAAAAACCCCTTTGATTTTGAACATATTTTCTAAAGGTAAATAAGTTAAATATATGCTGCCCAATTACCCATTATGTGCAGGTTCCCTAAATTTTTAGTTGAAGCAATGAAAAAGAAGGAGGGTCTCTGTACAAAAATTTTAATTTTTAAAAAATTTTTGTAAATGTATTTCCCTTTTAATGTATTCCCATGAAGGGAAAACCCTTATATTTTACCCCTTTAATTGATTTGGATACCGAAAGGGTAATTGGGGGAAAAAAGGGTAAATTTGGGTAACTTCCTATTTCTCTTATAATGCGTTTGTTATTTTTCCCAAAGGGAACTTTTTAATCACTATTTCTCGTGCGTGTATATAATTATTTTAATATCTAAATTATGTTAAAAAATTGTTTTTTTTTTAAAAACTGTTTAAAAAAAATTTTAAATGACTTGGGGATTTTGTATTTTAGGTTTGGGAAAAAAGCCCACGATTTAATAAATCAAAATTGCCGGGGTTTTTTGGATGTTCTTTCTTTTTTTGTTTTCATTTTTTCAAAAAATAAAACACTTTCCTTTATGTCAAAAATATAAATCTCTAAAAAAAACCCAATGATAAAATTTATTTCTTCCCCTTTTCCCTTTCCATTTTGCGGAAACCAATTTTAGAAAAACCTCCAAAAAAAAGCAATCAAGGGGCATGCTCTGGGAATGGGGAAAAAATTTAATCCCTTGCACCCCCAGTAAAAGCACTGTGCATGGTTTGTACGGGGTATTATTTTTAAAATTAAATTTCTGAATATTTTCCCCAGAAAAGCCCCCAAAAAACTATATGAATAAAATAATGCCGCAGGGAAAACTTTTTTTTGGTTTTAAGAAAAAATTTGGGAAGAAGTTACACAAAGTTCCCAATTTTAGAAAGCCATTTTGTTCAGAATCAGAAATTTCCCTGAAATATATCTTTCCCAAATATTTTTTAAAAACTAAAAACAAATTTTCTTAGCGGTGCCAAAAAAACCAATTTGTAAAATGTCTTTTCCATTTTTTGCTGCTGCACAAAAATGTATTTAATACAGAAAAGGAATGGTCCCTTATTTTAGAAGCTTTAAAAAGGGAGATTTTTTTTAGAATCAAGTCGGTTTCCCTTTAAAATTAATTTAAATTTAAAAAACACCGACTGAAAGGGGTATCTGTCCATTTTTAGCCCAGTTATTTCTATTAATATAATATTTACATTTTATATTTTTTTTACTGGTTAGCTGAGCGCCTATCCCCCAGCCAGTCATAAGACTTGAAAGTAACACGGGAAAAGTATTAAAAACGTTTTTGAAAAATTAAATATTTTATTTGACCTTTCCCATCCCAAAATTGCTTTTTCATAAAGGTAACCATTTCCCTTTTTTTTTAAAGAATTTTTTTTTTTTCTCATGCGCCTGCCCAGGAAATTTTTAAATTCCTGCTTAAGCCCGTGCTAGGGGGCGTGGAGGTTAACTTGCACTTCCCCAATTCCACCCCAAAAACCGGTTCAATTAAACCGAGCAGGCCAAAATTTTAAATTTTGTTCCCTTGGTTTATTCTTTATGGTTTCCCTTTTTCCCCTATTTATATTTCTCTATATCCCGGGAGTCTCGGAAAACTGGGGGAACATGTAAATCATTGGTACATTCCCTTCAGGGTGTTTTTCCCCCCAGTGCCCTTTATTTTGAAAAAAAAATTTTCATCAAAAAAAGGGAAGCACATGCATTTTCAAATTTTTTGGGGGGGAATCCCCTTTTCCCTGTCAGGGAAAATGGTTTAACGCGTCCCTCTGATAAGGGGGCCTTTATCCCCCCTTTTAAATAAATGCGTGTCCCCTTAAAAGAGAAAACCCATTACATGTAACAGAACTTAATAAAAGGAATTTTGAAAGCGGATATGACCTAACGAAAAAATTTATTGAGAATGTCTGAAATTTAAAAAAATATATTAATAAGAAAGTCCAAATTCTCGTGGGCAAAAAATTGGAAAATTACCGTATTGGAAAAATTTTCAAGTTACCATCCACGTCCTCTAGCAACTGCTTAAAAAGCAGAATGATACAGGTATACATTAGCAACAAGTATATTTGACGAAAAAAAATATAAACATGCAAAATGGTTGGTAGGGACCCTCATAAATTAAATTAATTTTGTTTTGCCGGTACTATATTTTCGTTTCAATCATTATCAGTAACTAAACATTATTTTTGCCTATTTTACAATGCAGTTTTATGTCAGGCTAAAAAATATCTTTATCTTTTAATGAAGTTTACGCACTATCTTAACCGATTAACTACAAAATATTGCAAGGTTGTGTTTTATCAAGATATGTTTTACAATTTTATTGAAAATGTTCTTTTAAAGAAAAAAAAACCCCTTTAAAATTTAAATCATGAAAGGAAACTTTTTTTCGATTATCACAATTTTTGCAAACCCTTTTAAGTGGGCTCGGTAGTAAGGGGCCGATTCTTTTGGAACCTCGTTTTGCCCATTGATTTTTTAATCTTATTTTTTTTGGTTTAAAAAAATATATAAGGGGTTTTTAACCCTTTAAAAAAATTTTATAAAAGGCCCAGAAACTTTTTCCCGGATTTTAGGGACAGCCCCAAATGTTAATTTGCTATAAATCAAAGGGCCCTTTTTTTCCCAATGAAAAATTTCCCGAAATGTTTCCCGGTTTTTAATTTTCCTTTGACATTTTCTTTGGCCATAAAAAATTTTAAACACAAATTTCGAAACAAAACACGGTTTTTCCAAATTTTTGGCGCAAAAAATCAAAAAATACATTTGCAAGAAAGTCTTTTGTTATTCTTGAGAATTTTTGGGATCACCAAATGAAGGACTTTCTATCTATAAATATACTCTGCTTTTATGAGCAAAAATGAATAATGTCTTTTTGAACAGCACTTACGTTTAATTGAATGGATGAATTTCTAATTAAACATATTGACGCCTTCGCCAAAAATTCTCCTTCACCATGGTATTTTGCTACAAATTTTAAGCAATCTTATGGGCAGTTTTTTTTCAGATACAAGTCCATGCTATAAATGTTTTACAACTATCTGAATGTACAAGTATCTGTTTTTAAATAATTGTCTTGTCTTCCATTGACAATTTTTGCATTAACTATTGATAAAGACACACCTATTTAAATGTTGCCAGTAGAAGAATAGGGCGCTGACAGTAACATTTAAATTTCTCGTGGCTAACTGGCCAACAATCAGGAAGTGGAAGAATGAGGATCGAACTTCGTTACAACCGACCCGCTAAAGACGATGAAATGTGTCCGTTTGATATATCAAACATTGATGTGGACGATGTGTACAAGCTTCCGAACGATATAAACATTGCCAGGCTTGGGTAAGTGTTCAACAATTGATAGTATTTCTAATAACTTATTGTCTATTCAGCAATATTTCATAGAAAAAGACATATATTTTGTGTTCTGTTTCAAATTATTTATTTTTCGTTTACAACCTCATGTCTATGAACTTTAGATAAAAAATTGAAAACAATGATACAATATACATTGCAATTGAGAAAACAGAATCCTTAAAAGAATGCAAAAAACAAATATAATGACCAGAAAAAATTTTGGCATGCAAATTTTTAATGACTACTTTGGCAGCATTTATTTATGTTCCCTGTATTATACTTCGAACGATCAGGTTGATGCAAAATATTATGAATTAAAAGTAGTTTAAGAAGAAAAGTGTTTAACATTACATGGACACACAGATGGATTGATATTAATCATGTTATGTTCAGTCTTATTTATTATCTACATGTACAAACATTTGAATTTGTATTCAGATGTCTAAGATAGATATTTATAGTGAATTTGATGACTCGGAATTGGAAAATAATCTTTATAACTTATCATTTTAATAGTAATTGTGTCCTTCATCAATTTCTTTGGTAGTTATTTAGAATTTGGCCCGTTGAATTTTAGTTACTTGCCTAAAATTCCATCAATTTTGTGTGTATTCAAGTTCATGCGTTCATTGAATGCATCCCTTTCTTGTTGATCTTGTTTTACATATTTTATATATATATATATTTGTATATTTTCTTGAAAAAGTAGCACTTTTGTTATTCTTTAAAACACAGAATGCCCTGCACATACGTTTGATAATTTAGTAAGCTACCCAGAGATACATTGAAAGCCGCCCCAGCTACTAGAAGCATTCGTTAGGGTTGAGATTGTCTTCGTTAAGCTGTCGTTAATTATAACTCAACTGACCTAAACTTTTCGTCAAAAGTTATGTTAATCATGCAGCCTTCTGTTATGAAACTATAATTCCAGTAGCCTTGGTATTTGGCAGGTAACTTATATAGCTTATATATATATCTGTTAAGTTTTCGTGTTTTCCAGTCAGAGCGGTGTAGGTTCATTCGTTTATCTAATGGAAGTTTAGTTTCACCGACATATTGTTTGTTACACACTTTGCAAGAAATAACGTTTGTCGTTTTACAATTCATTATGTCTTTGAGAGATGTTTGGCCCCTATTTTTGAGGAGAATGTATTCGTAAGGGGCATGAAAACACGAAAATTTAACAGATCCCCAGTTGCTGAACATTTTCACCTTGAGGGACACAGTTTTAAAGACGTGTCCCTCTGTTGTATAGAACATAACACAAAGTGGTCAGATGTTACACGGAAATCACGCGAGACATACTGGATTCGCCGACTGAATACGCTAGCTCCATCAGGAATCAATAAAGGAGACTAATTTTAACACTTATTCTCGCCCATTCTTGACAAACTGTTTTAAACCTAACTTTAATTATCAGGCTGTGCCGGGGAGGACTCTTTTTCCCTGGCCTGAGAGCATCTCTATTACTTTCACCTTATCGTAAATTTCCACTTCATATAATATCACACTGTTTGTAACTTGCATTTTCTTAGTAATAAAAACATAAAACGCCCTTATATGTGAAGTTTTATTTTTTTAATATATATTTTTTCCCTTTTTTATACATACACTTAACGAAACTTATAAGTACCCCAAAAACAAACTTGCATTAAACACGTGTTATTTTAAAAATATGCACATTAGATAATGATTATACGTAATGCCCCAATTTGTCGTCTGCTCAAAATGAATTTATGCAAAATTAACCATGCAAAACCATACTTTGAGAGTGGTCGTTGAAAATCGAAAACGAGCACGTGCACTTCGTGCAACTGACCATAATGACCAATATAAACATGTATCGATAGAGTGTAGACGTGCCTAACATAAAAACACAAAACATGGCTCGTATGTCGTTGCAAGAACGTGCAATCGCTATTGGACTTTTAGAAGCCGGAGCGTCTCATGAGCAGGTATGTGGTTCAATACCCATTGTTCGTTTTTATTGCATTCAGTGCATGCATTCTACGACAAGCCCGTTGCATATCAGTAGTATGAACTTTGTAATCCTTTGTTTTTTTTCTAGGTTGCCCGAAGAATGCGTGTTTACAAAGAAGTCTATTACTAGACAGGCCTCAAAGTACAGACGTACCAGAAGTGTCGCCAATCTTCCGAGGAGACCACGTGGTAGAGTGACAACACGCAGACAAGACCGGTTTATGGTTTTATCGCACCTTCGCCAGCGGAAGCGCACAGCAGTAGAAACAGCAAGGGCGACATTTGGTACTCACGGACGGCCAATCAGCAGCAACACAGTCCGATCGTGCCTCAGATCCGTTGGTATTCGTGCCAGACAGCCGTATCGGGAAATTCACTGCGTGGACACCACCGTCGTGCACGTGTCCGCTGGGCGAGGACTCATCTGAGATTCACACATGCGGACTGGGCACAAGTCTGGTTTACCGATGGGTCCCGTTTCAATGTTCAGGGAAATGATGGGAGAACCGGTGTGTACCGCCGACGTGGTGAGCGTTATGCTGATGCGTGCGTCGTAGAAAGAGATCAGTTCGGCGGCGGCTCCGTAATGATATGGGCTGGAATTTCACTCCACGTGAAAACACCACTTGTTGCAATTCAAGGGAACTTAAATGCAGCTCGTTACCAGAACGAAATTCTTCGCCCCGTTGCCATTCCAATTATTCAACAGAACAGGGGCATGACACTAATGCATGATGGGGCAACGAGCCACACTGCACGCACAACACGAGCACTCTTGCAACAGCAGAATGTCAACGTACGGCCCTGGCCGTCAAAGTCGCCCGATCTCAACCCGATTGAGAACATATGGGATGAACTTGGCCGGCGTGTCTACAGAGGCCCGAATGCACCCACCAACCAAAGAGAACTACACAACCGACTAATGCAAGAATGGGCTAATATCCCAGTGGCTTATTTTAGAAATTTCATTATGTCAATGCGATCACGGTGCTTAGCAGTAATTAACGCAAACGGTGGACATACGCGATATTGACTTCATAAGACTCTGGTGCGAATTTGTGTACTGGTAGTGATCTCGGTTTATGATCTTTTTTGTTAAGTTTGAGTGGTTTATAAATTAATTTTTTATTATGAAATGTTAAAAATATGATTAAACTTTACACAGCATAAGTTTTAAATATTTGCGTTAATCATATCATAATTTATGCTGAAAACTATAACTGGGGTACTTATAAGTTTCGTTAAGTGTAGTTTTAGAGATATATTTAACCGAGTTACGCCATATTGACAGCAGGCTATATTTTCTTTTGTATAGTACAACACAATAACCATTCAATAACGGTCTATTCATAATCGATGTAATTTTATCACCTTTCTAGCGACTGTGTTTCAGTTCAATTTTTGATACTATACAGTACACACGTATTGAGATTGTGTGCTCTATTGTGTGCACATTATACATGTAATACACCCCTGATGAAGGCATAATACGCCGAAACTACATGGTTTTTTATTGATACTTTAGCACTGTATGAACGTTTATTTTCTACAAATTTATTGTTATTTTTTCCACGTTCTTGTATCCTAGGATCCAGTGTTTTTGAAAGGTATTTTGTAGATGCAAATATTTTTCACAAACCTATATATATATATATATATATATATATATATATATATATAAAAAATAAAAAAAAATATACTAACTAATCTCCTGAAGGTCCAAGATGGCTACGCCTTTCAATATTCACCCTGCTCCGGAATTTACTTAGTTTATGTAGACGTAAATGGTTAAATAAATCTGGAAAATCAAGAAAAGAAATGATCCCTACGAAGCAATGGAAACAATATTATTTATAAGATATATCTTATCAAGTCTTACTGTGTACAATTCCAATGCCAGGAGCTCTGTTGTGTCATGAGAATGTCTTAGATTTCATATCTATATAATTATATATTTCATATATTTCAAAAAAATTGACATAGTATATAAAACAACAGACAACTGTTTTTACTTGCCAGTTTGCGTCAATATATCTTTTTTTTCCCTTTCAAGGTATATTCTCATGCTAAATTTTTCCCAACCCTTAAATATTTTAAAGCTGACATAAATAATAGAATTTTAATTTTTACGAAAGCTTTATGTTAGGTGAAATTTACAGTTCATTTACATTGTAATTGGCATATACTTACTGAGGTGCAAATTAAGATAAATTGCATGAATTGTGATATTTAAGCATCAATTATAGTATTATTAAGTTATAAACCTCGAATAATCCAATGTATAAAATAATGAATTTCAATACAAACTTGGCTCAATAACACTATCTTGTGTGCTCAACTAGAAGTTTGTATTGCTTGTTCTTTTGCGCGTATCATATCCCCGCTCCACTCTGTTTTGCATAGTTGATTATTTGTATGATGAATTGTTTTAATATTTGGTTCTTTATTTTGGTGTCAACTGAAAATATTTTAGCACTTTCCTTACACCGATTACGCCCACCCGTTCTTAAGACCCTATATTTTGCCCTTCACATCATTACCCATTCTTCACTTTACTCTGTCAAATATCCATTTTCACTTTCCTCCATTTAAGATCCTTTCCCTTAATACTTCTCTCACGTCTGTACCTCTGTTATCCCTTTTCTTTAACCCTCTTTCGCTTTTCGCTGTCTGTGATCCCTTCACTTGGCCATTATTTTCCACCATTTTGAGAATGCTTTTTTGACACTTTACAATTTCCGTTCATTCTTGAAGGCATTAACTTACACACTGCCATCAGCTTGACGCCTTGTTCTTCCCTCCTTTTCATCTTAAAAATACCTACACCTTTTCATGCTTAAAATATATTGCTCCCTTTCTTCCATCCTCTATATTCCACACCTTAACAACCGCTATAACTTCCCTTCGTCTGTGATTCGTGTGATTAGACACAAACTTATTTCTCTTTGGCTTTGATTCCATCTCTATTCTTCGTATGATTCCTTTACGTTTGACTGATGTGATCATTTACTTACTAGGCAAATTTCAACTTTTTTGAATGCTTATTTTTAAACGATTAAATATGCTGACGGTTATCTTTAGAAAATGCTCCTTGCTCAGAATGTTTATACCCCCTGGGGCTATTTTGGAAACACTTTGTCCCATTCCGTCCAATCTTAAGAAACGTTTGAAACTTGAATCACAATTCAACTGTATGTGTCAAGTTATATTACTCGGTAGTTTGTTTAGCATTATTATGCCTCTTTCTAATTTAGAAAATATACGAAAATGTACCAAAGTGGCTGTAGCATTATTGTTAAGAAAAGAAATGTATTCTATCCTTTTTATACATCGACATAATTAACCCTTAAGTTGATTAAACTAAATTTGACCTTAAGTCATAAAGGTTATTGAATATTTCTATTTGTTTGCTGTATATGACTGGCTAGATTTATTATAATGAATACATTTTATTCATATTTAGATGCAACATCCTTATGGACAAGTCTTTTTTGAAGATCAAACTTACTTTAACCGTCACTTTAAAATGATTTTGACCTATTTTTCTTGCTATAATTTTCGATAAAACTTTGTTACTAGTATAATTATGAAAATTATCAACACTTAAACTAAACATCAATGCAGAATTTCAACGAATCAGTGTGTGCGTGCGTGCATGTATGTGTGCGTGCGTGTGTATGTCAAGTTTCATTAAGACTGACAGTTTAAGTTTGCTATGAATATGCGTCTTTTCTTGCATTGAAAGTATAAAAAATACTAAACCAAAGTGGCTTTAGCTTATTAAATGAATTTCATCATACTTGGCCACAACAGTTCTTTAGGATAGACTTTCAAGTTGATAATACATTCTTAAGTCATAATTGACATTGACTTTCAAGGTCAATTGATTGAATTTGTTTACTGTAACTGGCTATAATTTTATTATCATATGTCCCGTCCAGTCTTGCTAATTATCTCAGTAGAGATATCATTTTGAACTAACACAATCAATGCAATATCACAACACAACTGTACGTTTTAAATAAGGTAAATATACATAATTGTGGCCGTTAATATTATAGTTTGCTTTAAAACATTTTTTGTTTATAATAACTTAGTTTTCTCCCTTTTTCAACAAAGTAATTTTTAGTAGATTGTTGTACCCTTTTGGCAAGGCATTTTTTTGTAACAATTATTTGTACACATACGAACTATAATAAATAGGAGACCTGGTCCAAATCTGTTTTCATGCAACATTTTTTTTCTTCAAATATTTAAGACGACAGAGGAGGTATGAAGTTGCAGCTCTAGTTAAAGTTACATTAAATAAATTTCATAAAAAAAGAAATAGCGACATTTCATTAATAAATTGGGTTTCATATCGACTCCGGATCTTATTTTGGTGTCCAGACAACCAAAATGTGTTTAATGAGCATACAAATGTGCAACCTCATTGTGGCGAATTCGTAAGTACAATTTCTGTTTGCATGAGAAACTCCGCCTTCAGATCATCCGTACATCAATATTAAATCAACAAACATGACTATAAGTAGCGGTCCTAATTTAACGGTATATTACCGCATTGTAACGGATATTTTCATACAAATTTAATCTTTTTTATGAGATGACTATTTTTACTGACCCACAGGTCTAGTGCACCGTGAAGCTTAAACGGTAAAAGTGTGTTTGCACAAGAAAATCTTATATTTGCTGTGTCCGGATAGCAACTATAACACCGTGACGTAGCGTTTACACGAGCTGACTATAGTCTTCATTTGCATATTAAAATTCGTATACGAACTTTAGTGTTACCGTGGGGTTTTCCATTTAAAATCCTAATTTATGAACAATAGTTGATGAGATTTACAACGATACTGTTAAAAAGGTTAATTAAACTGTAGAATGCTTGGTTTTGAGGCCGATGGCAAAAATATTTTAACATATTTATTTAATGTAGCTTTAATGGTTCTGTGTGTATTTTAGGTTATCCTAGCTTATTTATCTCACAGAGATCATCCTATTTGAACATTTCATTTTAATATAGGAATTGTGACGTATGCGGAAGATGTGCTGACCCTACAATTATTGATTATGATTTGCTGACAACAGAGGCTCCTGTTACAGTTATTGATTATGATTTGCTGACAACAGATGCCCCTGTTGATGTTAATATATCGTCAAGTTTTGGAAGAAAAAAACGGCAAGCTCAAAACGATCCTGTTAAAAATATGAAGTGCATACGATTTAGTGTAAGGTAAAAAACTATTTACCTGTATTTCATTATTTGGATAATTATTATAATAGATATTGTATTAAAAGCTGATTCAAAGGGCGTGAACGGTAACTTTAATTTATCACTGATGTTATAAAATAAAATCGACTCTGCATCATTTTAATTTTGCGTTTCTGTAGCCTACGTTCTAGTATAACCCGGATACCAACTAGCTGTATTTGGGCTTTATTTTAGCTCTCCAGAACCGAAGGTTCAGGGTGAGCTATTAGTATCAATGGGGAATGCTCCGTCGTCAAGCATTAACAATCGTCTTCTTCTTTGAAACTGCTGTGTAGATTTACCACGAATTTGGTCTGTAGCATCCTTGTGACAGTCACATTTAAATTTGCTCATGTCATTTCAATTGGCTCCTTTTAGGGTTCAACAGCGCTAAAAATAGAAAAACCTTTAATCATCTTTCACTACAGAACTAATAATTGGATGATCACCAAACTTTGTCTGTAGCATTCTTAGGTAGACTTTTATCAAGTTTGCTCATGCTAATTTGATTTACCCCTTTTAGGGGGTCTCTAGGGCTAAAAATAGAAAAGAAACTTTAGACACTTCTTCTACAGAACTAATCTGCAGCATTCTTAGGTAATCTTTTATTAAGTTTGCTCATATTAATTTGAGAAGCCCCTTTTAGGGACCACCAAAGCTAAAAATAGAAATACCTTTAAACGTCTGCTTCTTCAAAACTAATTGATGGATGATCACCAAACTTTGTTGTAGCATTATTGTGTAGTGTTTTATCAAGTTTGCTCATATTAGTTTGATTGACCCCTTATAGGGGCCTCTTGAGCTAAAAATAGAAATGAACGGGAGCCACAGAGACATTATGTCCAATCTGTTTTACCAATGTATATGTATGATACACTTCTTAACATGAATTAATCACTTTGCTTTAGTTTATGTAAGCTATGGTATCTTATAACGTGTTTTGATGGTGTTTCATTATAAATTGAACACTTTTTGTTATATCATCTTTTTTGTGCCCAGACTTTAGGAAGGAGAATTTAGAATTACCATTGTCCGTCCGTCCGTTCTTCCGTCCGTTCTCATTTTGTGTCGCATATATTTGACATACAATCATTAAAACTATGTTGTTCAGCATGTGAAGTTGTGCACCTAGGGTTTCGCTGGTAAATTTATTCAGTTTTGTCCTTGACTTAATAAAAAATTCATTTTTCAAATAGTGTCGCACATAGCTCAAAAAGTATTGGACCTAAACTTTACATACATGTTAATCAGCATGCAAATTTTTGCACCTGGTTTTGCATAGGATTGTTTTCTGTTTGCCTGAGTTATTGCCCTTGACTAAGTTAAGATTTGCAATTTTCAATTTTTGTCGTGTGTAGTTCAAAAGAATTGAACCTCGAGTCATATAACTTAATAGGAATGTTGGTCAGCATGTGTAAACATGTGTTGTAATGCTTGGGGCTTCGCTTATGGATTTATCAGCAATTGTCATTGAATTAGTAATAAAATGCATTTTTCAACTTGGGTCGTGTGCAGCTCTAAAGATATTTGACCTAAAGTCATATAATTCAAAGAAATGTTAGTAAGCATGTGTTTTTATACACCTTTGGGTTTGCTTCTGGATTTATTCAGTATTTTTAAAGTGTTTGCCTTTGGCTTAGTAAACAACTCTTAGTTTACAACTTGTTTTTTTGTGTAGCCCAAGAAATATTGGATATATAGTCATAATATTGACAAAACAGTGAAGTTTGAGGGGGCACCCGCGGACATATTTTTAGTTACAATATGTTTTAAAGAAATTAATTTCCAATTTTATTTTGGTATTGCTATATTCTGGTTATGCTATTATTTTTTTATGAAAGTGCAAATTAATTGACATACTTTGTTTTCAAAATTCTGTTTTAACATCATCGATTTTCACGTGAGCGACCTAGTGTTCTAAAAGGGTTTTCTGATTATAAGCTGATGTTTTAAACTGGTGACAAATGTGTAAGTTTACAAAATTAGGCTATATATTATCCAATATCATGTATATTATATATGCCGGTGGCTTTAACAATTAATTTGATTTTAAAGCGCACTTCCAGACAACGAGCATGGTATGTCTATGATATATTTCCACTTGGAAACTGATGTTACAGTTCTTAAAGAAGATATGGAAAAAGTAAACAGTTTAAGTTGTTTTGCTTATTTAAGTTGTGTATATTGTTATTATTATACAATAGTTATAATGTTTTTATAATTGTTCTACTTTTGTTTGTCAGCGCGAGATCAGAGGGATCGTAAGGTATCTGTCCGTCGTCGACGTTTATTCAAATTGTAAGATCAAATTTTATGAAATGGTAAAAAATGTTTTTATCAGCCGAATATGTTAATTAATTTAATATATGAAAACAAGACTGCTCCAGTGCAAATCTAATTCACAGAAGCTAATAATATAATTAAAAAAATGCAATCTTTACCAACCAAATAATGCCACGGCATAAACAACAGTCAAAAACCTTATTTTTGTTTATCCTTTATGCTCTGTTTGTATTCATAGTTTACACAATTGGTATAGTAGTTACAAAAAACTGGTTTCGTGACATTACCACGTTTCCTTTTTCTAATAAAAAAATGATAAGTTTAAAGCTTGGTTTATTTTTGTTTTTCAAATAAACATTAACTCTACGTAACAGCATTATATGTCACGTGCTTACATTTTCATGTGCTTTACCGTATGTATACATAATGTTGGGTTAGTATCTCAAATGATGCTATAACAATGTTTGCCTTTTTTTTGTTTTTGTTTCATATAGGTATTCATTAACGCATGAGGATTAACACTTGTTATGTAACTATTGTTTCAGATTATAAAAGAAAACAAAAATGTAGATGACTTTGAGATGCCAACCAACGGAAACGGATTGGTTGTATTTTATCTTGATACGGTAAATATTGACATATCTATAACAGTTGGAAAAAATATTTCAAATGACGTTTTGTGCCATCATTCTATACTTTATTAACCATTAACATGTAAGTGATCAGCCATTTCAAAACATTTTCAGTCAGGTCAGCCTTTCATTTACATTTTCTTTAAAAAATAACTTTTGTGTATGCACATATATGTGATGAGTTAAAATCTATACTTGTTAAACAGCTGACGTCACATAGAAATGACTTTGTGTTTCGACTGAAGGATAACTTCAAAGGCGACAAACTGTCACGACAGCCTGCATCGGTCGATGTATTTGACTACTATGATCCAGGTATTATTCATAAGGTCCCCTTATCTTTGTTTAGATGGCCAGATGAAATTAAACCCTTTAGCGCTTAAAAATATCTCTTGAGTGGACTTTTTCGCAAAAAGATTTGATTTGATGATTTGATTGTCTTTAGACCGGGAAGTCAAGGAGAGCCTACGAAAGTGCAAGCACTTATTTCCAGCAGGACCCTCACCTCAGCAGACACTAGTTTCAGCTTTGAGATACAAGGAAATCCGGGAACCAGTCTGTAACTCTTATTGATAGATCCCTTAGTTCTTTTGCATGTCCAGTTTAAAGCACTTATACATGCAAGGATTACCTAGGTTTCGTACCAGTATACCTCTAGGTAGGTGAGAACACTTATAGTGTTTCGGAAAAATCCTTAGAGTGTTACCCAGGATCGAATCCGGAACCTCAGGAGTGACAGTCAGTGGTCTAAACAACTGAGCTATCGCGCCACCTATATATATATAAAAAGTCCTCAAATGACAACAATTTAGATTTACTAATTTTAAATCACTTGAAGCCCACCACCACCCTAAAAAACATCCTTTAGGTTTTATGGCGCCTTATGCTTTATGTCGTAACCACTCGTGAAGATTTAATAGGTTACAATAAATATTTCTTTTATTATGTAGTACAATGTGTGCGAATTTCAAATCTATTCCCTTCACTTGCTCTAGAGAAACAAACTTACAAGTAAAGATTTGAATTGAGTGTGAAGCCTACGCCGAGGTTAATACAATAGCTTTCCATTTCCTTCGAAGAATCGAGCTAGAAACTGTAAATACATAACATGTGAACGCTTGTCATTAATTACACCGAATTTGCCAGCAATGTTTTGGTAACACAGAATAATAATATGATTGATTACTTTGTTTGATTTGATGTAACGTCGACATTGACACATTACTGGTCATACCGCGATGAACACTATAATAAGTGGGCCTAAGGGAACAAGCAAACTTTAAGAATACTAGTGTACTTATTTTACGTAAAAAACTTAGATGTCGGACTGAAAACTTCTATTCAAATATGTCAGGTTATTCTTTATTGTTGACATGTTACTCATACCTATGTATAGAACCTTCACCTTCCAGTCTAGTCAAGGTTACCGCATATATGTTGATGTCCTGCTGATTTTTAAAAAATAATTTTCTCAAACATTAACACAATTCAAGTAGCATTTCCAATTTTGACAACTATTTTTATGCTCCCCGAGGTGAGAGCATATAGTCGTGGCTTTGTCTGTCCGTTCCCCCTTATGTCCGAGAAATAACTCAGCATCTGCAAAATATATAAACAAGAAACTTTGTAGGTAGATACAGATACATCACACTAAGTGTTAAGCGCACTGCATAAGAACCTTAAGCATGCCTTGCTTAATTCTGGAATTATTGCCTCTTTTAACATTGTTCGGGACAAATCTATGACAATAGAATAGGTATCAACTAGAAGCCTAAGAGGTAGATAGATCTCATTGAGTAGACATGCAGTTCAAAAGAACCGTTACTCTGCCTTACCTAATTATTGAGTTATTGCTATTCTTTTTTCATTTTTACACCGTGAACTTTGTCCTTGAATAACTCATAAACTACAAGAGGTATCAACAGAAAACTTAAATTAAGTAGAAGTGCAATGCACAGGAACTGTAAATTTGCCTTGCTTATTGTTGAAGTTATAACCTTTCGTTCATATATACACTTTGAACTTTGTCCTGGACAAACCGCAAAAGGTATCAACGAAAACTTTGTAGGCAGATAAAACTCATCAAGTAGAAGCGCAGTGCACAAGAACTGTAAATCTTCCCTGTGTAATTTTGTAGTTGTCCTGTGTTCCTTTTCTTTCACTTTGACTTTGTCCGAACCGAAATATAATTGCATTTAAAATATAATTCGACAAAGCTTTTATCAAGCAAAAATATATAAAATAAATAGACGGAATGGATAAACGGAAATAAGAATTTAAGATTGTTTCCTTGTCCGTGTCTATATACATCTCTTTACATTCAAATTATGTGATTTTGGGGTTAGTAAAAATTTAAGTTTCATTGAAACTTGTATTAACGACATTTCTTTTTCACCTCTTATTCAAAAAGAGAGAAGTGCCATACATTTTGTTTTCAAAATAATGTGTATGTTTTTGCTTTATTTCATACATTTGCAGTGTAATGTTTGTCTAATATACCGAATCAGACCTGTCTTAAGCTTAGAGGTTTTCCATAACCTTTAGATAATATAAACTGTTTGGATTTTGTTGATTGACATTCCCATATTAAATATTCAATTGATTATATCTCCAGATCAAAAATCATACAGGTTGCTTGTTGATAATTTGCATTTTATAAATGTTTTTCTGTAATAACATCGTCTTTATTCACATAGAGAAAATGCATTGAAATGTTTTTAAAGCTTTTTGTCATATTTGAGATTAACTAGTGATATTTTGAATAATCTTGTGCATCACGAATTTATATTTGATTTGCTGTTTCAAATTTAAAAAAGTGTTTGTCTATACAATTTACCTTTTTCATGCCATATATTCCGGTAAATTGTATTTTGTTGTAATTGTATCCTAGCATTGTTCCGTATGATAAGTTTTCCAACTTTATTTCTATTTATATTAGAGGATTATATAACAGAAAACCAGGAAATTAAAATATCTCTTAGAAGTGTGTATGATTTACAGAGATTTGAAACATCATGAAAACTAAGAGTACGTTCAAAAAAGAAATATTCACCTAATGGTCTTAATATATTCTCAAAAAGACTTCCCAGTGTCCATTGCTTTCATTTGAAATCAATCTTCTTTACCCAGCAAGCTTTAATTATCCCCCACCGATGGAATCGGTAGGGTTATATTGTTTTGTCGTTGTCCGTCCGTCCGAATTTCGTTTCCGCGCATACCGTTGCCTTGTTTCGGTCAGACCCTTTAACTGTTGATTAGTTATACAGTGTGCATATAGAGCAATGAATGTCTCCGCGCTACTTCTCTGCAACTACTGGCTGGAATTCAACAAAACTTTATGGGAACCATCAATACAAAGAGGAGATGTGCATATCGTTGCCTTGTTCCGGTCAGGCCCTTAAACTTATGAGCCCTTGATAAGTTATGCAGTTTGCAAATAGAGCAATATTCGTTTCCGCGCCATTTTTCTGCAACTACTGGCTGGAATTCAAATTAACTTTATGGGAACTATCAATGAGGAGATACGCATGTTGTCGTCCTGTTCCGGTCAGACTCTTTAACGCAGAGTTATGGCCCGTGATTACTTATGCAGTCTGCATATAGAACAATACTCGTTTCCGCGTTACGTGTCTGCATCTACTGGCTGAAATTCAACTTAACTTTATAGGAACCTTCAATACCAAAAGGAGATGCGCATATCAACGCCTTGTCTCGGTTAGACTCTTTCATTTAGAGTTATGACCCTTGTTGTATGCATATTGAGCAATTTTTGTTTCCGCGCTACTTCTCTGCAACTACTGGCTGGAATTCAACGAAACGTTTTTGGAACCATAAATACCAAGAGGAGATGCGCATATCGTTGCTTTGTTCCGGTCAGACTCTTCAACAAAGAGTTATGACCCTTAATTAGTTATGCAGTATGTATATAGAGCAAAGAAATCGTTTCCACGCTATTTTTCTGCAACTATTGGATGGAATTCAATGAATTTTAACCGTCAATACAAAGAGGAGATGCACATATCATTGCCTTGTTCTGGTCGAACCACAGAATATAGAATTAAATACTTATACAGTATGCATATAGAGCAACATTTGATTCCGTGCTATTCCTCTGCAAATACTGGCTGAAATTCTAATCAACGAAACTTTATGGGAAAAATCAATACAAAGAGGAGATGTGCATGTTGTTGCCATGTTCCGGTCAGACCCTTTAAATTAGTGTTATGGCCCTTGATTAGTTATACAGTATGCATATAGAGCAATCATTGTTCCCGCGCTATTTTTCTGCAACTTCTGGCTGGAATTAAATTAAACTTTATTGAAACTATCAATACTAAGCGGGATGCGCATATCGTTGCCTTGTTCCGGTCGGAACACAAAATACAGAGTTATGGTCCTTGATAAGTTTTGCAGTATGTATATAGAGCAATAATCGTTTCCGTGCTATTTCTCTGCAAAAACTGGCTTGAATTCAACAAAACTTTATGGAACCATCAATAATAGGAGGAGAAGCGCATAATATCACGGCCCTGTTTCGGTCGACCTTTTAACTAAGAGTAATACCCCTTGATAAGTTATGCAGTATGCATATAGAGCAATCACCTTCTCGCTTTTTCTCTGCAAGTAAATTAACATAAATAAAGCCTTATGTCTCCAGTTGTTGTGGTAGCAATAAATAGTTCTCGACGGGGGAAATAAATTCAACGAATTCGCTTGTTGAAGTTTGTGTTTGAAATAATTTGTTGTCCAATAACATTACAGTTTTTCAAATGAATGATTACTATGGTAAATCGGCAAACTTTTGATCAGTCTAGTAAATCGACAGTTTATACGAATAATTTAATACACTACGGTTACAGACACGCCTTACTATTTTATGATCACATCCGTGTTATTTGTGCCGTGTGGCGGCTGTAAAAAGTCTCCCCGTACATTTAATCAATGATGTTATATTTTCGATCCTTGAAGATCGTTCAGCACGACATTATTGTTGTGCTTGTGGTTTTTTTAGTTTCAACTTTTCGGCATTTTCTAGTTGGGTGGTTCCAATATTCCTACTTGAATAATGTTGAATCACCCTTAGGATATGTTGCCTGCTTTTTAAATTTGTCTTTTGACGTCTTATCTGTGATACGCAGGCTTCATAACCTCTGATCCCCTTTCAAAATTCCATTTTATTTGGTTCCGCCCATAGTTTTCTCGTTTAGGGCACACGCTTTTTATTACTTGGGGACCATACGCCGCTTTTCATGGAATGGCACGGAAGTGTCACATTAAAGGTTCCATGATAACCGCCGTATGAACACATCTGCGGATGTTTCTAAATTCAAATTTTACTATTTCATGTTTAAATGTTGAATTCTGCTTAAGCCGGTGCTAGGGGGCGTGGACGGTAACTTGCACTCTCCAGTACCGTCCATGAACAGGCTCAATCAAACCGAGCCTGCAACATTTTCAATTTTGCCGTGTTGGGCTTTCTTTAGGGATTCTGTATTTATCTATTTTATGATCACATCCGTGTTATTTGTGCCGTGTTGCGGCTGTAAAAAGTCTCCCCGTACATTTAATCAATGATGTTATATTTTCGATCCTTGAAGATCGTTCAGCACGTCATTATTGTTGTGCTTGTGGTATTTTTAGTTTCAACTTTTCGGCATTTTCTAGTTGGGTGGTTCCAATATTCCTACTTGAATAATGTTGAATCACCCTTAGGATATGTTGCCTGCTTTTTAAATTTGTCTTTTGACGTCTTATCTATGATACGCAGGCTTCATAACCTCTGATCCCCTTTCAAAATTCCATTTTATTTGGTTCCGCCCATTGTTTTCTCGTTTAGGGCACACGCTTTTTATAACTTGGGGACCATACGCCGCTTTTCATGGAATGGCACGGAAGTGTCACATTGAAGGTTCCATGATAACCGCCGTATGAACACATCTACGGATGTTTCTAAATTCAAATTCTACTATTTCATGTTTAAATGTTGAATTCTGCTTAAGCCGGTGCTAGGGGGCGTGGACGGTAACTTGCACTCTCCAGTACCGTCCATGAACAGGCTCAATCAAACCGAGCCTGCAACATTTTCAATTTTGCCGTGTTGGGCTTTCTTTAGGGATTCTGTATTTATCTATTTTACTTTATATGTATATAGTAAAACCCTTTAAAACTATTTTTATCTGAATTAATAAAAACTACAGATTAGATATTATTTGGCATGAAGCATTGTACAGTATACCAATATTGTTCAATTTAAATCCAAGGGTCAAAATTGCCCCACCCGGAAGTACATTGAATGTCATTGTGTACATATAGAAAACTTTAAAAACGTCTTGCTTAGAGGGAAATAACTTATATTGGTATGTCTTTTATACATGTTATGCAATTTTCATATAAAAAGATTCAATAGCTGAAAGAAAGTCCAAAGGTCATAACCTCTAGCAAATGAAATGTTTGCTATTCCGATAAATCTATTAAATGACTAGCGGTCATGAATTCTAGCAAGAGAGATGTTAACTTTGCAGATATATTTAATTGGACAATTTAAGCACATTAAGGACATTATGATTCATATCATGTATAAAATGATGATATTAAATTGTACATTGAAAAGATAGTGTTAAAGAAAAAGTAACTTTACTTGCATTTCAAAGTTTAATACAGCTATGTAATGCAGTAAATACCCATTTTTTTATCCAGTAAAAATCATTTAATTTTTAAATAAATTCTTGCACTATGGCCTTTTTTAGACGCATCTGCAGATCGCCATTCATTTGACATGCTGAAATGTTACATTGATCCCCGAATTCAATAGGCACTACTGCATTATGGCAAAATATGACCTTAGTGGCAATTTTGGATTTCTGAAACAATTCTCTAGTGTCTCGAACGTGATGGTCTGAGATACCGACATTTTCGGTGGCTGAAGACGCCGAGAATTCTCAAAATAAACATGTAAATATTTTATTTCAATTAACACTTTGACGTCATGAGTGTATTGTAAATGTGTAAACTGTTTCATGTTTGGAAGCATTGAGTTTAAAAGTGATAGCTTCAGAATGTTTATATTGTGTTTACAATTTAAAACAAATGCCTTTCAGATAAATACTGCCGTAAGATGTATGGAACCGGTCCTAACAAAGGTGCTGCCGTGGACTACAAGTGTAACTCAAACAAACTATGTAAATGTCTCACAAGTAAGTATATCTATCTATCTGTCTGCCTGTTTGTCTGTATGTCCCATCACATCTCTTAATCTCTCTTCCGCACTTTCTTCTAAATGTATCCGTCTATCATCATATCTATCCATCCCCCAATCTATATACACTACCTTATACCTAACCGTATCTACCTAAATTGTTTTTTCTTCTATTGTCAACTTGTTACAAATAACTTTTACTATCATTTTAATTTACACAAAATGTATGAGCATCACTGTTGCTAGTTTGAATCGATTTAAACGCTTTACTTCGAGTTCTTCACAAATTCTTTAAAATACATATTTTTTGCTGAACTCGATCATAATTTATTCAATGGGTCTGAACGCATACCAGCGATTTATTTTGAATTTTTATTGTAAGCCTCTTCTTCGGCGGACATGCTATGGCGTCATTGAAAAAACATTTACTCCGTGATAACTTTCTTACAAAATAAATGTGACCGAGCCTGTCTCATCCGTTCTCTCTTTATCGGAAAATACTAGAGAAAATATATTAGAGACAATATAAAGACTGAAAAATATAAAGTTTAACTGAAACAATTGGAATGACTGCTTTAGATCTGAGATAGACCGATGAAAATATATGTTGCTGTTAGCCGGTCTCCAATATTTGCAAGTAAAACATCCAAAAGAAACCGCAAATGTGCGGCTTTATGGACAACACCATGTTTATTCTCGAAATTGTGACAATTACCTACTCAGAATTGGTTTTCACAGGGTTAAAATTAGAAACCACATCGTTAGCTCTCCGATGATTGGCTGCGTGATAGGTCAAGAAACATGATTTCGTACTTGGTCAGTTTTAGATCTAAAAGCGGGGCGCTATTTAGAGCTAATTTTAATTAAATTCATAATATCATATTAAATCAATTTTTTTCTCTTTTAGTTTTTGTAGCAAATGCAGCAACTTCACTCAAATTTAAACCTCCAATACCAGCCACCCACCTCCTTATCCTTTTAAATCAATGTACCAACTTTATTTCGATAGAAAACGCAATTTATAAATATTTTTCTTTTGTTATTTCCTTACTTCACTCTGATTGAAAATATTGAAATTATGTATTTGATTTCATAGGTTCCTGCTCAGTCTCAGTTGATGCCGAAATTTTGAAGATGTTAAAAAGAAGACAGAAACCAGCTGTCAAATTGATTCAATACACATGTAACCCTGATAAAGCAAACTTTGGTTTGTATTTAGATACTGTTAAGTTCAAATAATATTTAAATGTCCGATTTGGTAAGGTTTCTGCAGCCTATAAAGCAGATCAGGGAGGGGTCAGGAAACTTACCGAAATGCGAAAGTTTGTCGCTTGTCGCACTGTTTGTATGACACAATGCTGCTTAATGTCGCACTCGCACTTGACGCTAAACGTCGGAAAATCGGTGTTAAAACACTTCTAGATATTGTATATTATTCTGCAATTCATTGTTGCAAGAGGTATGCCAAGAGTTGCACGATATTTTTCTGTCATTTAGATGAAGATTAATCATCTCTGAGGACGACTGAAAATATTTTTGTCCTTCATAAAAGTAACCTAACTACTGTGGGATCGATCTGCTAACTTAAACTTAATATAAGACAAAGAAAGTGCATTCAAATTAAATCAAATCTTAAATAAATCATTTTGGATTAGGCTTTCTGAAAGAACATACTTATTGTAAGCTTTGTGGTTGTCGGTTGGTGCAATTTCTACTTTTTTTCAAGCTCTAATTGGGTAACCCGATTTATTTAAAAACATTTCACATTTGTTCATATAATATTAGATCAGAATATGATTGACTGATATTCAAATTTTCTGTAATGAGTATAAAGTTACATATTACCTACTAGCACTAGTGTTTTGTTAATATATAAATTGCAGTATTTACATACTACAATGTATGCGGAAAACAGTAGAACTTGGTATATTTTTGATAAAATGATTACATTACGGAGCCTTTAAAGTGACATTTTCAATATTTTTCTTTCAGGACTTAATTCGTTTTTATGAAATATTGATGCGTAATTACGAAATATTAATTCATTTTTTACGAAATATTAAATCGTTCTTACGATATAATAATATTTTGTAAATCGAAATATTATTTAAAACGAAATATTATTTCGTTATTACGAAATATTAATTCGTACGTAAAATACGAAATAATATTTTCAGTGTGTTTAAAAGGAAATAAGGTAATATATATAAAAAGGTTTTGAAGCTTAGTTCATGTCGAAATATAAAGCTGTAAGCAATGTTTCTCCCTAAGTCTTATACCTTAATACGACGATATAGCTGTACTGTATATAAATAACAATAATCGCCTGTTAATTGAGTTGTCGCGCTAGCCGTGACACGTGCTAGGACATTGGGGTAATGGGCTTGAAATCCATAAACGGACTTTTTCTGTTTCGTTTTGTCGATTCTATTGTCTTTTGAAATAAAATATCATGTTTATATGATCGCACGGTGCCCATAAATGAATTGTAAGGAAATATACTTTTTAAATAAATTAGATTAGTGAAAATCTGGAGGTCATCACCTTTAAGTTTAAATAATGTGTATGATAAAAGAAAGTAATAATATAGCCTGTTTCGTTTTAAAAAAACGTGTCAGAAAAGATAGATCAATTGTCTCAAAAATTAAAATATTTTGATTTTTGCCAGTTTTTGGTAATATGTATTTGAATATGGGGAAAAAGAGAATATTTTAGTTCATGTTTGAATATGGCTCATCTGGGATAAAAAAATCTAAGTCAAACAAAACCCAAATCATGGAAAAAATATTGTTTACATTCTAGAAGTGATATTTTATCCCAAATATCCTGAAATTTTGTCAGAGAGGTTGTTTTGATGATTTCTAGCTTAGCTTTGAACATAGGTCATCCATGGTCAAAATCTAGTTTACACATACCAACAATAGAAAAACTCTGTTATCACTCTATTTTACCCCAAATATCTTGGAAATTGGTCAGAAAGGTTGTTTGTATGACTTCTAGTTAAGGATTGAATATTGGTCATCTGAGGTCAGAAAGGTCACGGCACATACAAGGTATTTATATTGACAACCTTATAAACATGTGCAATATTTCATGTGCAGATATGAATGTTATGATATCAGTTTAAGTGTTTGGTATTGTATCTCCCTTTGATAGATTGCGAACAATATTAGTTTAGAGCCTCAATAATCAAGTGAGCTGTGTAAGGGCTATTATGGTTCATAATTTATTGATAAATTATAGCATACTGAAATGATAAAACAATATCATGAAATGAATGTATCTGTTCCAAAAATTATATGCATAACATTAAAAATGAATATATTGTGAACAATATGTTGGGAAATATATCTTCCGGTGGTTTTGATACGATTTTCGATTTTGAAGTATATGTACTTGAAATTCAAAGTTAATAGTAACATTTGCAGGTACATTTAAACATTCATGTTGCAATGTTTGGTTTATCTGGTCTGGTTTATCTGAAGTTTCATCAAAAATGAACATTATTGTCTTCAAGTTTTATAATTTAGTCAAAACTAGTCTAATAAGATCTGGCTAAATCACAGTAAGTAAGGGTTATCCACAAGGCATCTTCAAAATATTTAGTGGCTTACCAGTATGCATACCAATTATCTGTACATTATACAGGAACAAGGTCAATAATTATGTATGCAGTATTCTGATACTGGCTTATGAGCTTGTCATTTTAGCCTCGTTCTGGTTAATTTTGTAAAAATATTTGTATCAAAATAAGAAGGGTCATTTGTATGAAAACCAATAAAGAAACACTCATCTATGGTTAACTTTCCTACATGTGCTTGCATTTCAACCGAGGATTTTACCGGAAGATTTTTATGTATTGCCTTGGCGCGTAGTGCAGTACAAGGTTTTGTGCTTTAATCGTTTTGGGGAAAATTATAATCCTTTGATTGTTTGCGTCAAAACCTTTTTATGTTACAATAACCCCCGTTTGTTTTATGTTTAATAGATCATCTAGATGTCTAACCTTTTATACTATATGCCGATTGTAACTTACAAATATAATTTATAATGATAACATATTTTTTAATGATTTTGGTTGGATGTTTTTACCAATTTAAACATTGTTTCAGTATATCGGCAGGGTGTTTTTAGATACCTACAATTCTGTCATGGATTTCGTCATGCTTGCGAACTCTTTACATACAAATATTTAAATAAGTGGTTGAGGACGAACGGTATTCAACATAATGTCATAATGTAAACTCATATGATGTGTTTTTTATAATTCATTGTACGTATATCACTTTACTAACGAAATTAATGATAACATATGAAGTTGTTAAAATAATAGATATGATATTATCCGTATTGTAATATGTTCTTACGGATTTGTTTCGCACAACTAGTGCACTTTTCTGATCGGGCGATATTGGGATATGTGTTTCTGGATAGTGTGATCACTATGTCACATTTTACAGAGCTTTTGGTGTGTTAAATTGTTTTTCAATTCAATCAATATTTTATCTGACTAAGGCATATGAATGATCACCGCCTATATAACATATTTACAATGGTGCTACAATTATAGAAAAGGAGAAAAGCATTAAATCATAGTTGATTAATTCCACCAAACACTGTTTAAAATAAAAATTATGATGAAAACTTGCAATCTCAGTATTAATTAGATTTATATAACGTATGCACACCAGAAATGAACACGCAATTGTTTGAATTTAAAAAAACCTACTCCGTGAAATAATATTTCAGTAAAGTATTAAGCCCAAGTTGTCTATAAAAACATGAAATTTTAACTTATCAAAACCATTTGAAAAGAGGGAGAGGGACCTTGGTGTCGCCTGCTGCAAAGTAGCTGTGCTATGTAGGAGCACATTTGTCCCGGAGCACATTTGTCTTACGTTAGACCGATGCGGTCGCATTTGTCCCACATGAGAAAAATGGGACCTCAGACGTCTACCCAAACAAATTAATTTGTGTGACAAATTTGCTCCGATCAAGATTTTTAAGGGACAAGAAAGCACATTTGTCCCATGTGGCAAGAAAGAACAATTTGTCTCATTTCATTTTTTATGAAATATTTGTCACATATTTTGCCAAGGCATATTTCTTTAGAATAGGTTGGACGAACCTGAAGGCGTACACTGTTACATACGGAATCCCGTTCACGGTGATATAATGGCGATGATACGACGATAAAAAACAATGGTACGAACGTGAAACAACAATTGTACGATTGTGAAACAACGAAGGCACCATATTGAAAACGTCATGATTTTCACTATAGTGTCCTCGTGAATTTACCATTCTGACATCGTTGTTTCATCATGGTGCAGTCTTGTTTTAATCATCGTACAATCGCGCTTTCATCATTGTACCATAATGCATAGCGGATCAGGAAACAAACATTGTTACTTATGTCCAAACGGAACACCATAATCATAATTGAATGGTACAATATAGGGACTCGTTTCGCATCTCGCGCCAAACTTCGAATCTCGTTTCGTCGACGAGAGACAAAAAATCTTTCGAAGACAATTATCGCTAAATAGTTTTTATTCCCTTAATATTCTATGTTAAACTGACATTGTCAAAGAGCCTCGCTTCGTGTCTCGTCGGAATATCGCGTCTCGCCCGATTCTGAGAGGCCCGATATACCATAATTACAACATTACCCGGATTCTTTAAGAACTCATGCATGTTGTTAGTGCTTTTTCAATGGCGGATCTGAAAGCATCAATTCTCGGAATAAGGCAATTTTTTTCAAATATATAACAAATGTATTTCTGATGAAAACAAATGGTGTGGGATTGTCTTCTCATTTTCTTCCTGAGATACTACCTTGTTTTTGCTTAGAATATTTCTAAAAAACTATTTATAAAAAGTTTAAGCATAGGAAAGAAACCTGTGACAATAAATAACGACGCTGCATATATGTGTAAATTCTGGACACCAACTTTTAGCCATTTTCATTGTGGCATGAAGAACAGGGAATTTCTTAAAGTTATTAAATGTCTACTATGCAGAGGTAGTAAGTTTTTGATTGACCGGAAGTGACCTAAAACGGTATTATAAATACAGAAAATACAGAACAAAGGCAGGAAGCCGGTATACCGATGGGCATAATAATTACCCTTTTAGAATTTTATGAAAAATATGAGACAAATGTGCTTCGAGTGTCCTTCCCATTGTGTGTCGAACACATCTGTC